ATTTCCACTCAGCTTCATTTTCATTCAGAAAACAAACCTGGAGGAATAACAGCCCAACATCAATTTAGGTCCATTAACCCAATGAGTCAACAAGGTGGTTCAGAAAAGTTAGGTTTTTTAGATGATAATCTGAGCAACCCGATAATCTCACGTCACAAGGTCAGGTTGATATTTAAAAGCATCTTATCTGGTGTAGAAAAATTTTTTTTTCACACCACTGCTGAGTGAAACGTGAAGCTTTACACAACTGAAAAACACAAACAAAAGCCATCCTCCTGCTCCAGATTGAAAAAGTCAGATTTCTGGGTGATGAGACCATTTAAAACGGACAGGAAGTGGATTAGTTTGAGTAAAAACACCTGCAGAAGAGGCGGGAGGCAGTTCGCAGTAACTAGGGAAGATTCTCAGGAGTGGATCGGAAACAGACGTCTAAGTTGGAGTAAAGAGAGACAAGATGGCCGACTGAACAAAGAATGAAGAAGACGGGGAGGAGAGGATCAGAGGAGTCTATTCCCCCTTTCCTACTGGCTGAGAAACCAGTTCAAATTGGTTTTTAGGCGACGTCCACACAGTAGCCTGAAGTGACCCAAATCCATTTTTTTTTTTTTTTTTTGCCCATATGCGACCTGGATCTGATCTTTTCATGAGTCTGAACAACTCCGATCCGATTTTTCCCTATGCGTCCCAGTCCACTTAGCTCTGTGGTCCTGAATCTGATACGAATCTGATCTTTTCAAATGCGACCTGTGTCTGAACGGCCTGGTCGCATTCGTCCGACATGAACTACATTAATACCAGACAGAGGTCACTATTCTGCGTCATGCTATGAAGAAGCAGCAAGAAAAACAACAACCATTGCGGATTATAATGCGGAGAGCAGTATTTATGTTTAACCATATTGAAATTAATTGTGTTTTAAAAAGTTGGGAAATATCACTGGATGCGCTCCAGTGCTAGCATCCATGTTAATTTCCGTAAACACAGAGCTCGCTGGCTTGTGACATCATTGCGTCCTCAACTGTACATGCGGGACACTTGCGTTGTATGAATGCAGTTCACACAGGAGATCACATACAAGTCGCATATATTTGGAAATTTGAACGGCAACGCTAAGAAATCGGATTTCACAAAAATCGTAATTGAGCGTTAAAGACCTGCAGTGTGAACGTAGCCTTAGTGACAGTCAGACCAGCACACTGACGCATGTCTGCTCGGGTCAAACAACTTGGCAAGCAACCCGTGTTAAAATCACCTCGCTCTGATCGGCATGCTGTGGGAACACCAGAGCCGGTTTTTCCCACTAAATTACGTGACACCATTGAACGCAGCATATGGCCGTCAACACACTGCGCCAGTCTCTTCTGATCTAACAAGCAGAAACAACTCTGTTTCCATGTTGCTCTCCATTGTTTACTCTCCTGATTTCTGTCGCACTGGTGACATCATCAAAGCTAACCCAGTGTGATGGTGTAATCAGTCACTTAGCCGAGGGGGGGTCAGAGGCCACGCAGTTGCCAGCGAGGGTTAGACCAGCATTATTTGCCAGTGGGAAGGAACCCAAATGCTGAATGTTGGCGTGTCCACCATGTTTTAAAAAACTTCATTAACCGCCGTTTTCAGTGGGAAAGAGTCTTAATTTGAAATGAGGAACAGTTTACATGCTGAATGTTTCTGCTTCTTATGCAGCCTGGACACATCCTGACTCCCTCCTGTTTATGCAGATACTTGTGTAAAGATCTATATATTTTCTTCTTTGTGCAAATATTGGTTAAAAAAAAAGCAAGTTTAACAGGAAGGTTAGTTAATTTAAGTGCAATTAGAGGGAGAGGGGGAATGAATAATAGGTTTTACTTTTTCATACCTTTTCAGACGATTGCCATTAATCAATGTCACTTACACTCACGGGCCACTTTATTAGGTACACCTGTCCAACTGCTCGTTAACACTTAATTTCTAAGCAGCCAATCACATGGCGGCAACTCAGTGCATTTAGGCATGTAGACATGGTCAAGACAATCTCCTGCAGTTCAAAGCGAGCATCAGTAGGGGGAAGAAAGGTGATTTGAGTGACTTTGAACGTGGCATGATTGTTGGTGCCAGAAGGGCTGGTCTGAGTATTTCAGAAACTGCTGATCTACTGGGATTTTCACGCACAACCATCTCTAGGGTTTACAGAGAATGGTCCGAAAAAGAAAAAACATCCAGTGAGCGGCAGTTCTGTGGGCGGAAATGCCTTGTTGATGCCAGAGGTCAGAGGAGAATGGCCAGACTGGTTGGAGCTGATAGAAGGGCAACAGTGACTCAAATAACCACCCGTTACAACCAAGGTGGGCAGAAGAGCATCTCTGAACGCACAGTACGTGGAACTTTGAGGCAGATGGGCTACAGCAGCAGAAGACCACACCGGGTGCCACTCCTTTCAGCTAAGAACAGGAAACTGAGGCTACAATTTGCACAAGCTCATGGAAATTGGACAATAGAAGATTGGAAAAACGTTGCCTGGTCTGATGAGTCTCGATTTCTGCTGCGACATTCGGATGGTAGGGTCAGAATTTGGCGTCTACAACATGAAAGCATGGATCCATCTTGCCTTGTATCAACGGTTCAGGCTGGTGGTGGTGGTGTCATGGTGTGGGGAATATTTTCTTGACACTCTTTGGGCCCCTTGGTTCCAATTGAGCATCGTTGCAACGCCACAGCCTACCTGAGTATTGTTGCTGACCATGTCCATCCCTTTATCACCACAATGTACCCAACTTCTGATGGCTACTTTCAGCAGGATAATGCGCCATGTCATAAAGCTGGAATCATCTCAGACTGGTTTCTTGAACATGACAATGAGTTCACTGTACTCAAATGGCCTCCACAGTCACCAGATCTCAATCCAATAGAGCATCTTTGGGATGTGGTGGAACGGGAGATTTGCATCATGGATGTGCAGCCGACAAATCTGCGGCAACTGTGTGATGCCATCATGTCAATATGGACCAAACTCCCTGAGGAATGCTTCCAGCACCTTGTTGAATCTATGCCACCAAGAATTGAGGCAGTTCTGAAGGCAAAAGGGGGTCCAACCCGTTACTAGCATGGGGTACCTAATAAACTGGCCGGTGAGTGTATCTGGCTCTATATACTGACAGGTCTATTTGGTGGAGGGTTTGGTTTCTATGTTCAGGTGAATTTAGTTAGTTTGGAAATTGGTGTTTGGTTTGGTTGGTGGTAACTAGACTTTTTTGTGTGTATTTGGTTGTTTTATTTATTGTTTGTCAAATTTCTGTCTGAAAAAAATTAGGCTCAGGACTGTTAATGGCCGTGTTTTAGCTGCTTCACTCAAAACTGAGCTTCATTAGCACAGAACCATTTATTCAGCCTACAGGAGGACATGCATTACCTGCCGTTACACAGCACACAGTTCTGCTTTCTGGAGGCACTAAAACTGAATGTTTAAGTACCAAAAACTAAGTAAATGCACAGAGGCTCGGCTGCATACTTTCTTTTTTTATTCTTGCTATTCTTTCACAATATCATGTTTTGATCTTATACTGACCTTCAGTGGTTAAAGGAAAAGTCGCTCATATTCAGAATTCAAACTTCTGAAAGTTCTTTAAATGTGAAATGATTCCATCCTGTTCAATAAATGATCAGTGTTTTTAATTCAGAGTCATTTTCATGTGAATGTGCTTTACTGGAGGCATCCATGTTTGTCAAAGAACACTACTGCCACCTACTGGTTAGTGACATTGTCACGGTGCGGTATCGGCTGTTGATCAAGTCCCAGTGCTGTATCTGGTGTTTGTCACAACGCGCTATTATCCAAGTCATCTTGAAAACATTCTTCTTCCAAATGTTGGCTACATATTACGGGTTTTTTCTCTGGCCAGAAGTTCGATGGCAAATCCTCCCTCTTCAAGTTTAGAATATTCTCGCACGACTGAAAAAATCTGCCCAAAAAGGGCAAAAAAGCGTAGTGTTTGCCCAGCTTAAGGTCTTTGCAGCCTTGGAGCTTTGGGGTTAGTTCCTTTTAATTGTTCTTCTGCAGTAATCTTTAAGGATGGAGTCCTTGCATCTTAGACAACATATATCTTCATTCTGTATACACAGAGTGTATACAGATCTTTAGAAAGGTGACCTGTAGGTTAGTTTCCAGCTGCTGGTGTTTTGAAATGTTACAATGCAAGTGACCTTTGACACACTTATATTGGACAAAGTGTCCTTAATCTGTGGCTCTTTGTGTTTACATGGTGTAAAGGTAAAAAGGAGTTAATTAGTCCCATTTGGTTTTCTGTTAGAAAACCTTTGATTATCACAAAGAGTTCAGTTCCTGCTGGATGTTCATCGTTGAACATATAATTAACTCTGAATTAAATAGATGTTTGATGGACTTCCAGAGGTTCCGTGGGTCATCCTGCTTCAGAGTTTAATCATCTGGTCACTGTGGCCGGAAAATTTAGTTTCTCTTATTATATATATTAGTTTATGCTATTTACTCACTATAAAAGTTTTCACTCAGCCTGTTTATCATGCAGCCACACAATTCCCCTGCGTGACGGTGTTTGTAGATCAGACATAGCTTCTTTCCTAAACAAACCAGATTCTTTTTCAAGGTTTATTCATAACATGTTACTGTTTAACCAAAGTGTCTGTAATTAGTTTTGACTCTGATAACTTTCCATTTTTGTAAATAAGGGGGAACGAACGCTGCTGAGGCAGAACAGGGCTGATTACCGTGCAATAAGGGCCGTATGAAGAACTACTCTCTCTTTGCAAAAACAAAAATAAAGTGCAAACTGAGTTAAATCCATTGATTTAACTGGAGTAAATAAATACTTTTTCCCACTACAGCAGTGTTCAAAGAAATGTTGGTATTCAGCAACAGTTGAGCTGAGAATCCTTCTGTTCCCGACCATCTAAAGGTTTTCATAAAGGTTGATCTCAGGTCTTATGCTACCGTTTATCGGTTTAAAGCCGTTTTTAACCAAATTCTTCTATTTTGTTGAAAGTGTCACATTTTCAAGAGGAGTAAACGGAGAACACCACAAGAGGTACACTTTCTTTTTTCACTTACTAGAACCACGTTTCCATCTAGAATCTCACATAAACCATTTTACCACAATCATCATTATAGTAGCAGTTCTCATCAGCATTGTCCATGTTGGATGTTTCCATTCCATCTCATCCTCAGTCATTCAGCTGAAAAATAAGCTAACACTTCCAGCATGGCAGACGGGAGAGTCCATGAGCTTTGATGCATGAATTTCTACACTTTTATCCATTCCTAAAAATAAAACACCATGAAAACAGAACGGAATAAATGTGTTAAACAGAGTAATTAGGTTAAGTCGGCCTATCGGTGCTGTTTCAGACATCCTGCTCAGTTCTAAGACGTATTGATATGGATGTAATCCAACATGTTTTTATCCCCAAACATCAGAGTGACTTTCTATCCATCCATCCATCCATCCATCCATCCATCTTCCTCCGCTTATCCGGGGTCGGGTCGCGGGGGCAGCAGCTTAAGAAGGGAGGCCCAGACTTCCCTCTCCCCAGCCACTTCTTCCAGCTCTTCAGGAGGAACCCCAAGGCGTTCCCAGGCCAGCCGAGAAACATAGTCTCTCCAGCGTGTCCTGGGTCTTCCCCGGGGCCTCCCCCCGGTGGGACGTGCCCGGAACACCTCACCAGGGAGGCGTCCAGGAGGCATCCTAAACAGATGCCCAAGCCACCTCAACTGGCTCCTCTCGACGTGGAGGAGCAGCGGCTCTACTCCGAGTCCCTCCCGGATGACCGAGCTTCTCACCCTATCTCTAAGGGAGAGCCCAGCCACCCTACGGAGGAAACCCATTTCGGCCGCTTGTATCCGCGATCTCGTTCTTTCGGTCATGACCCAGAGTTCATGACCATAGATGAGGGTAGGAACGTAGATCGACCGGTAAATCGAGAGCTTCGCTTTTTGACTCAGCTCTCTCTTCACCACGACGGACCGGTACAGTGCCCGCTTCACGGCAGACGCTGCACCAATCCGCCTGTCGATCTCCCGCTCCCTTCTTCCCTCATTCGTGAACAAGATCCCAAGATACTTAAACTCCTCCACTTGGGGCAGGACACCCCCCCTGACCCGGAGAAGGCACTCTACCCTTTTCCGGCTCAAGACCATGGCCTCGGATTTGGAGGCACTGATCCCCATCCCGGCCGCTTCACACTCGGCTACGAACCGATCCAGCGAGAGCTGCAGATCACGACTTGATGAAGCCAACAGGACCACATCATCTGCAAAAAGCAGAGACGCAATCCTAAGGCCACCAAAACGGATCCCCTCAACACCTTGGCTGCGCCTAGAAATTCTGTCCATGAAGGTAATGAACAGAATCGGTGACAAAGGGCAGCCCTGGCGGAGTCCAACTCCCACTGGAAACGAGCCCGACTTACTGCCGGCAATGCGGACCAGACTCTGACACCGGTCATACAGGGACCTGACAGCCCGTATCAAAGGGCCCGGCACCCCGTACTCCCGGAGAACCCCCCACAGGGCCCCCCGAGGGACACGGTCGAACGCCTTCTCCAAGTCCACAAAGCACATGTAGACTGGTTGGGCGAACTCCCATGCACCCTCCAGGACCCCGCTGAGGGTGTAGAGCTGGTCCAGCGTTCCACGACCAGGACGGAAACCACACTGCTCTTCCTGAATCCGAGGTTCGACTATCCGACGGACCCTCCTCTCCAGCACCCCCGAATAGACCTTGCCGGGGAGGCTTAAGAGTGTGACTCCCCTGTAATTGGAGCACACCCTCCGGTCCCCCTTTTTGAATAGGGGGACCACCACCCCAGTCTGCCAATCCAGGGGGACTGCCCCCGATGTCCATGCAATGTTGAAGAGTCGTGTCAGCCAACACAACCCCACAACATCCAGGACCTTGAGGAACTCCGGGCGGATCTCATCCACCCCCGGGGCCCTGCCACCGAGGAGCTTTTTAACCACCTCGGCGACCTCGCCCACAGAGATTGGAGAGCCCAGCCCAGAGTCCCCAGGCCCAGCTTCCTCAATGGAAGACATGTTGGTGGGATTTAGGAGGTCTTCGAAGTATTCCGCCCACCGACCCACAACGTCCCGAGTCGAGGTCAGCAGCACCCCATCCCCACTATAAACAGTGTTGGTGCTGCACCGCTTCCCCCCTCCCGAGACGCCTTTCTATCCATAAATATGTAAATTAAATATAAGTATTTATCTAAATACCTTCAGGTATTAACTGATATACCAAATATATTTTCTGATATTTCAGGTATAAAAGTACATATAGAAGGCAAAGTGGACCTTGGAGCTAGTCTTTTAGCTATCAATGCATTCAAGCCTACATTGTACAACCTTTACTAAAAAAAATAACAAATTGTTAACCCTGTTTTTGGGAATATGCTGGTGAAGATTCTCAGTCAATCAGGTCATAGTCATTCCAAAAAAAAAAAAAAGTTAAAAAACAACAAAACATGGAAATTGAAAGGGAACAATACACTATATTGCCAAAAGTATTTGCTCACCTGCCTTGACTCACATATGAGCTTAAGTGACATCCCGTTCCTAATCCATAGGGTTCAATATGACGTCGGTCCACCCTTTGCAGCTAGAACAGCTTCAACTCTTCTGGGAAGGCTGTCCACAAGGTTGAGGAGTGTGTTTATGGGAATTTTTGACCATTCTTCCAGAAGCGCATTTGTGGGGTCGCACACTGATGTTGGACGAGAAGGCCTGGCTCTCAGTCTCCGCTCTAATTCATCCCAAAGGTGTTCTATCGGGTTGAGGTCAGGACTCTGTGCAGGCCAGTCAAGTTCATCCACACCAGACTCTGTCATCCATGTCTTTATGGACCTTGCTTTGTGCACTGGTGCACAGTCATGTTGGAAGAGGAAGGGGCCAGCTCCAAACTGTTCCCACAAAGTTGGGAGCATGGAATTGTCCAAAATGTCTTGGTATGCTGAAGCATTCAGAGTTCCTTTCACTGGAACTAAGGGGCCAAGCCCAGCTCCTGAAAAACAACCCCACACCATAATCCCCCCTCCACCAAACTTTACACTTGGCACAATGCAGTCAGACAAGTACCGTTCTCCTGGCAACCGCCAAACCCAGACCCGTCCATCAGATTGCCAGATGGAGAAGCGCGATTCGTCACTCCAGAGAACGCGTCTCCACTGCTCTAGAGTCCAGTGGCGGCGTGCTTTACACCACCGCATCCGACGCTTTGCATTGCACTTGGTGATGTATGGCTTGGATGCAGCTGCTCGACCATGGAAACCCATTCCATGAAGCTCTCTGCGCACTGTTCTTGAGCTAATCTGAAGGCCACATGAAGTTTGGAGGTCTGTAGTGATTGACTCTGCAGAAAGTTGGCGACCTCTTCGCACTATGCGCGTCAGCATCCGCTGACCCCGCTCCGTCAGTTTACGTGGCCTACCACTTCGTGGCTGAGTTGCTGTCGTTCCCAAACACTTCCATTTTCTTATAATACAGCTGACAGTTGACTGTGGAATATTTAGGAGCGAGGATATTTCACGACTGGATTTGTTGCACAGGTGGCATCCTATCACAGTTCCACGCTGGAATTCACTGAGCTCCTGAGAGCGACCCATTCTTTCACAAATGTTTGTAAAAACAGTCTGCATGCCTAGGTGCTTGAATTTATACACCTGTGGCCATGGAAGTGATTGGAACACCTGATTCCAATAATTTGGATGGGTGAGCAAATACTTTTGGCAATATAGTGTATGTCCGCCCGTTTGGAATGGGGGTTGTTTAGCTTCTTTGTTAGCCTGCAATGCCCCATACCTGTCTATGTCTCTGAACGGGGGGTCGTTAAAGGGAATAGTTGGTCTGGCTGAATAGGCTGATGATAGCGGGAAGGAATCAGCTCAGTCAGCTCGTAGTAGGTATTTGAAGGCTGAAAACTGAGTCCCCCCCCCTCTGTTTAAGGTTGGCTTTTCTTTTTTAACAAAGATGACTTCCTTCACGCCCCCCCCTCTCAAACCACGTCTTCTTTCCAAATGTGAACATTCTGGTCAGAGATCAGAGCATTCCTCACTCTACTGAACCGCATTCACCTCTCTGCTTTTTTGATGGTCAAAGCGTGTTCAGTGTGAACGTAGCATTTGACTTTCTAAATGTTTCATTTAACCTTTGAAACATTATATCTCATATCTTCCTTATGAAATTTCCACCTCTAGTCAAGCACACATACTTCCCACAATTAGGACCAAAATATTGTTGGTAAAAAGACAAAAAGTTAGCTGCAGTTCACCTCAAAATGCAGGAAATAGCATTTCAGATTCTAAATTTCAACATTTTCTGGGGGAAGCTAACCCCGTTGAACCTACGGAAATGCCTAAAGATGTTATACACCAAGGCGTACACCCTATGAAATATCCCTAACTAAATGCCTGCCTGCAGCTACAATTTATTTTGATAGATTTGGTTTCTTTTTTTTTAATTTTTGTTTTGTTTTGAGTCTTTTGTGGATTTTGATTATCTTATTTTCTTTAAAACAAAACTCTTCTAATGCTGATAATTATGGTCATATATTAAGATCGCTGCATGGATCAAAGAAATATAATATTTCTGCTGCAACAGCAGAGCTTGAACTGGAAAACATGAGAATCTGGTTTGATTTTCCATGTCTGTTGGCTTCATAATTCGGCGCTGTGTAATCAGCTGAAATAGTTTTGGATAATCTAATTTATTTTCAACAAATGAGATTAAGAACAAAGGAGATACGGGCCGAAGAGTTTCTATCTATAAAGCCCAGTTAATCCTCGTCAGTGAAGAACAATGGTTAATACAAGAAAATAAATTTTGTAGATGGCATCATGAGGATGGATTTGTGCTTTCAATGAGGTCCAGACAGGGTTTCTCCTCAGAGCTTATTTACCAAAAAGTTCTAGTTTGCAAAAACTGGATCCTGTTTGGAGTAAATGGTGTCAGAAGAGAGACGGAGTTTGAACCTGGTGTTTAAGAGGTGGAACAAAACTAACAGCGTTTACATTCTGAAACTGAATTGGTAAAACT